TGGTAGAGCCAGGACTTAGACCCAGTTCTGCCTGGGTCCCGCTTATTTTCTCAACCACCCTCCTCGTCGGACCTAATCCTTTCAATGAGTCAAAGACCCATTGTGGCCGTGGCCTCTGGTACAAGGCTTCCCGTGACACGGGCCTGTCACATCACATAGTTTTGGAACCAGAGAAAGCGTGACTCCGGTTCCTTTCTATTGTACTTTCCTTCTGATGTTAAGGTTAAAAGCAGCACTTGTTTTCAATTCTTTTCGCAAAACTCCCGCATATGTTTCTGGCTGGAGGCTGAAAAGCACGCAGGTGTTTGTGTCACGTGCAGGCTCCAGGCTGGGGAAAAGAAAACCATCTAGTGGCCCTTCTTGGCCTCCATCCAATAGTGGTTTGCAGCAGACAGTGGTGCAGGTGAAAATTCTAGCATGGTTTCTCAGCTCTGACATTCCCCCGGCTTTCTTGGTTCCCCTACTTGCTCACGCATGGCTGACATGATGCTCTTCCACCCCTTCTCCCAGGGGTCCCCCTCATCCCAGAGCTGACTTACCTGGAAACCAGCCTTATCCTGTGCAGGCAGACCTGTCAGTATCCTCTCCACATCCACACCATTTTGCTTAAGAAAAGCCTTGAGTTTTCCTTTAGTTCATTAATATATTCAGTCAATACATTTATCCAAGGCCACTATATTCAAGGCACTCTGCTAGGCCCTGCTGTTTATATTCAGATGCGGAAGAAATGGTCTCTGACTCCACCATGCTAAGAGATGGACAGGTTGAAACAGCCGACCCTCGGGTGACAAGCCCTGTGAGAGACGTACGGATAACGCACGCGGGAGGGTCCAAGGAGGGAGAGTTTGTCTGCTCTGGGAAAGGCTTTGTGGCAGAGCGGCACTCAGCTTGGCCCTGAAAATCGAATAAACTCCGCCTCTGAGGAAAGGAAGAAGAGCATCTCAGACAAAGACACACGTGAGTGAAGGCGCAGAGGCGCGGCAGGCAGGGCATCTACGAAACTCGGAGTCGTTCAGCCTTGCCAAGGCGCGGAGCTGTGAGGAGCTTTCGGGTCCTGCCCTGAGACTGAGGGAGGAGGGAAGAAACACCCAGACGGCGAGGCCCGGCACCCTGGGGGCCAGAGACACGTGTAGCTTGGCCCAGTTGCTGTTTGAAATATTGGATCCCATTTTGAGAAATCAGGCTTCACATGGAAATCCAGATTTCTGGCTTCTTGTGAAAATGTGAAAGATCTGGCAGCCCAGGGAGTGCTCTTCCAGGATGGGGGCTGGCGAGAGCTGAGGAAAGGCTGCCACCTTTCAACAGGGGGTGAGCTCTGTGTCCCCAGCACCGGGTCCCCGTTTGTCTCTCCCTCCTCAAACTGCTCAGCCCCACAGGCATCTACGCATAAGGCCCTTGCTCTGATCCAGGTGCAAACCAGGCCAAGCGAATGTGGAGACATGAATGACAGACCCCCAGGGCCTCCTCACTGACTCACACCTGTTGGTTCTCAATGTTCCCTAGCTCTCGCTGCTACCCTATACAGACTCCCCTTCTTTAAAATTTCTGCATGCATGGCTCTCAAATTATGAGAGACAGAAGTCTTAACAGCATCTCTAAAAATGCTCACGCTTCCTATGATCTGAGGCTCAAAATCATGTAAATCCAATGCATCGAAGTAGAGGGCGGGGCAAGCCATGTTTTTTTGTTTGTTTGTTTAATTGAAGTGGTTGATTGACAGTGTTAGTTTCAGGTGCACAGCCAAGTAATTTAGTTACACATACACATACATATTTTTTTTTCAGATTCTTTTCCATTATATGTTATTATAAGAAACTGAATATAGTTTCCTAGGCTATACAGT